CCTCCTCTGGAGTCTATCTTCTCTGACTCTACTGCAATCAGGCTTTTGGGCCTGCTCTCTTTGTCTCTCTCTCCCTCCCTCTGTGTCTCCTCTTCTACCTCTGGTAACTTTAATTTTACATTTAAGCTGGGTACAATTTAGACCATATGTTTTATCATTTCATATTTTATCATTTTATACAGTATTTTGTTATTAATTCAGTTGTAACCATAGATAATTATTGTCATTAAATCATTCCATTTTTAAGTATTTGTGAATTACTTTTGATTTAACATCAACACTTAATTGTTCCATATAGCAATACAATACAATCATATAATATCAATGCTCTCCCACATTTATAGCTATTAATACTGTCCTTATTTCCGTTTTTGGTATGAGATTGCAGAAGAATGGTTTGACTAGAAATGTGCAGTTTTTTACCATCATGCTGATCACTTTTTAGTCACTCGGCAGAACAACAGTTCGAACTGCTGTGGTTAAAACCATTCTTACACCCGTGTTGGATTTAGAAGACAAACTGGAGTCTGGAAGAGCAGATTTATTATACTTATTAACTTATATTTACTGTACGTCACTTTTGCTAGATACAGAAAAAGTGGGGGGGGGTAGTGTTGGGGGTGTATTTATTAATATTTAATAAAGGTGTATTGACAAAAAGTGATTGATTTACTTTTTTTTTTAACTAACAGTTCCAAATTACAACTTAAACTATTTTTTGTAAAGTCAACTTGTTGCTTTTAAGGCAACTGGTTTACTCTCTTTAAGTAACTAATCACTTTATACCGTGTAGTTCTGTTATTTTTATTATCACATGACAATTAAAAAATCATTATAATATTGTAACTTTGTGTTAATCGCATCAGTTTTGAAAACAGCTGTTACTTAGTCATTTGACTGGACTTTGCGGCTTTGACACAATCTACATTGTAATAGCCCTATAAAATCAAACATGACTTGACCATGTTTTAGTTTAGTGCAGTCCTTAAAAAAATGATCTTGCATTCATCAATGAAGCAATTAATTAAGTCAAGTAACAGCACTGTAAAAAATGCAGGGTTCCACACAACTCCTTTATGTTGTCCCCACACAAATCAAAAAAGACAACTTAATTGATTTATACAAATTTAAGTGGATACAACATAAAACAATTAAGATGTCCAAAAAACTCAAGAATTGTCATCTCAACTTATTTTAATTAAGTAGTTTAAATATGCAGCAAAAGTCATTGTTTAAGTAATTATATTTGTAGTAGTACAACATATGTTTTATATATAGTACAATATAGTAGTATTTATATTAGTCATACGTATATTTTTGTGTTGTTTTTCATCCTCTATACATGAATAAATAAATTTCCATTAATGTACCGTTTGTTCGAATTGAACATTTTTTACCAGAAGTCAAAAAAAAAATAATAAAAAAAAATATATATATATATAGAGAGAGAGAGAGAGAGAGAGAGAGAGAGAGAAAATTGTCTTTAAAGATCTTAGAAACTGCACATTAAAAAAATGAAATTTTTTTTTGTTTTGTTTGTTAATCACAAGAAAACATCAAGCATTAAAATAGATAACTTAAAAGTAGTTAAATAAAATTAATAAATAATAATACTAATTATTAAAAAAATATATAACAATAGAAAATAATATAACAAACAAATAAATATATAATAAAAATTTTAAATAATGAATAATAATAATATTAATCATAATAATAACAAAAATGTATTCTAATCTAATATATAATATAATATAATATAATATAATATAATATAATATAATATAATATAGATCATATTAATAATCGTAACAACAAGAACAAGTACAACAATAATAATAATAATAATAATAATTATTATTATTATTATTATTATTATTATTATTATTGTTGTTGTTGTTGTTGTTGTTGTTGTTATTGATGCAAACTGTTGACCTCCACTATGTATACTCTCCTGGGGCAGTCAAAAAAAAAAAAACACACACAAATAAAAAAAAAACAATCAAATAAATATAATATTAGCAAAGACATTAGTATAGCAAAACATTTTTAGCATCATTAATACATTGCTCAGTACTTTCATGCATTGTTTCCTCATTATGCAAAGATTGACAATAAATAGCAACTTGCATGTAAAGACAAATTAAATTATACATTTACACTGAAGCATATCAAAACAAGAAGCACTAATTAGCCACAAAAATGATGGCTTCATATCCAAACATCCACAGCTTGACACCCTTGATAGAGAGAGCAAGAAGACACACCACCAACAACCAGGAAAACAACATCATAAAAACAACAATCATGCCACCATTATACCCCTGCTGATTTGGTCACTGGTTTGTGTGATGTTTCCTTGTAGTGTATTCATGTTTACCTCAAAACTTGTACAATTCTGATTAATCTAAAATATGTGGTCTTGCATGACTTCAGTGGTATGAAAAAAAAAAAAAAAAAAAACAGCATCGCAATCAGATCTCCATTCATGACATGGAGTGACAGAAAAAAAAATCTGTTTCCTGCATTTCTAAGGAAAATAAGGAAATGTGCTTACTTTATTTATTTATTTGTTTATTTATTTTCATTATTTATTTATTTATTTACTTAATGTTTGTTGTCACAAAGTGTGACATTAATTGATTGTATCATATATTTTTTTCCTTTCATTTTACGTTTTATTTACATTTTAAGTTCCCCATTAAATTCATTGATGGTTTATGACTATATGCCATAGATATTGATTTCATTACAAATTCACTTGATCAGTTTAACTGCACAATTCTAAGTCCTCTGTATTATGTGTGATAGAAACGTTTATAAAAAAAACTATTGTATGCAATCTTCTACACCTTATTGAGAGTGCACTTTATAAACAAGTAAAAAAGTTACATTAGTAACACTATTTATTAAATAACTATTATTCACATTTTAGTATATATGGACTAAAAAATGCGTTGTTGTAACCAATATCAATCCGATATACATATTTTATTTTTATGTAATGTATTTTTTGATCAAATATAGAAATCAATCCATAGGATTTTCTTTTTGTTAATAACCCATTCTAACAAAATTACTCACAGCCAATTCTGATACTAATATATCAGTCATATGCTACTATACAGTCCTAGCTACTTTTTTTATGCATTAAGTTAATTTTACTAAACATTGACTGAATTCTTTCAACATTATAAGAGTGGCACAAAAGAATATACGATATGACAATCTTGAAAGGTAATTTTTGCCATTCAATCTTTTTGCAACAAACATTTATTTGACATTTTATATTGTTTTAATTTTCCCAACCAACAACTACTGCTTGTTAACTTATTGAATTAGTATATTAAATTAACAATGAATTAGAATATAATTGAAGAGTATCAGACCAATTAAAAATACAAATAAATGAAAAAATTCAAAGTTTATTTAGCGTGTGCAAAGAACATGGATTTATACTTCATTAGAGAAAAATAGATTCATATAAATAAAAAGCACAAAATTCTGATAATTTTATATTATTTCATGCACGGTTTATATAGTTAAAGGTTTAGGGCCCGATCATACACCTGGCGCAATGTGGCGCAAGGTGCCACGCAATTGTTGTTTGCTTGTTTCAGCTTGGCGCAAGAGTCGTTTTGGCATTTTCCGTTTAACTGTTTTCTTGCTAGTGAAACACTCAGTTTTAAATAGCAAATATGCCATGGCGCGGCGCAACTGACTTAAAGGGAATGGGAGATGAGACTCTGATTGGTTTATTCTCAAAACACACCTGTAAATAATTAAGGAAATAAACTCAACCCTTTTAGACCATGCGTCGCGGCGCAAAGCGGATTTTTTATTCTTATATTAGCAAAAGTGGATTATGACATACCCTTAATGCGTTTACGCCCTGCGCTTTGCGCATGGATTTTCAAAAATAGAGCCCTTAATGTGTGAAAAATTTATGTACTTCATTTCTGGTAAGAGTGTCCTGTACAACTTTTAAAATGTAGCAAATACATTTCTGCTTGAGGGTTGTAGCTTTAGACTGATGTATAGTTTGTCAAGAAACATCTAATGACATGTTCAAAAACAGCACCCCTGTGCATCCATTAAATAGGTTCCAATACTTTTTTTGCAATGATACTGCTATAACGGACCAATGAAATGTATTGGTACACTCAAAAAATTAGTTCTACTTGTTCAAACTACTTACTTAAAATAAGCTTAAAAAAACAATTCTGAATTTCTTTTGGGCAAGCTTCATTGGTTTGTGTTGAATCTTCTTAAACTAATTGTGCTAACTTAATGCATTTGTGTTGGGAAAACATGAATAATTTTTTTTTATTTTTTTTGCAGTGCATTGTACACTCACCAGCCACTTTATTAAGTATACCTGTCCTTGTTGAACCACCTACCTTGTTATATCTATGCCACAATGGATTAGGGAATTAGGTGTACCTAATAAAGTGGCCAGTGAGTGTATATAATGTCTTATAAATTATTATGAGTCTAATTAAATGTAGGTACCATGACAACACCAGTTTTTAACCCAATTAAATCTCAACCTAGTTGAGACTGGTAGCACGTCTGTATCAGCAGCACAAGTCTAAGATATCAACTTTACATTTGTAGCACCCTCCCAATGCAAATAAAGCTTGTTTGCACGGTTTCTTATCGCTCCTTTCCAATCGACTACAGTGTTTACTTGGCAAAAGAGATCTGACCGCGATGCCCAGAGTTCAGGCTATTAATAGAAGCAGAAGAATTACATGACGCCAGATCAGGGAACACCTCAAAAACACAATGACCAAACACCAAAGCACAGCCTAAAAGAAAAGCCGGCGAGATGTAGTGAGCGCTAATTACATCCCAAACCACACACACAAACACAAACACACACACACACACAGAGAGGATGGGAGTGGTGTGCTGTGTGAGGGGAAAACTATGGAAAGTGATTTGTGGAGCCAGCGACACGTCTCTGTACAGCAACGACACAATATTTCAATACTGACCGGTTCATTCTCATAGTAATTTCCCCAGTGCGGCCTGTGAGGTTTCTTTGTCATCTGGAAGTAAGGTATAGATGGGATTAGAGCAACATTCCACACTGTGCCTGCTAAACACATGCCGTTATAAAAATGAGAGAGCTAAAGCATTATGGGATATAGCCACATGCTCTTGGTTATAAACACTGAGGTTATGTTTGGAATGGGATACTGCTATACTACTCATACTAATTTTTTAGCATGTACACAAAATAGTGTGTATTTTTAGCACGTATAAGCTTTCATTTTTATTTCCTTTCTAAAGTATTATTTAACTAGAGTTTTTCTAAAGCTCGGCATAAGATTATTACAAGATAAGGAATCGCATATTCGACAGTTGAAATCAGAGCTATTAGCCCTCCTTTGTACACTGCCTGACAGAAGTCTTGCCGCCTATGCAAGTTTTGGGAACAACAAATAATAAATTGACTTCTAGTTGATCATTTGGTATCAAAAGTGGCTTATATAAAAGGCAAAGGCCTCTAGATTATGCTAATTTTACCAAAATCAAATATGATCATGCCTTGATTTTTAATGTTTTAATTAGGACAGTAAGGTCTGACTTTGCTTAGACAAAAGTCCTGTCACTTAACAGAAAAAATGTCCAGTATAAAATATAAAGTCATGGTGCAGTGGAAAAGAATGAATATTGTGTATGACTCCCATGAGTTTGGAGGACTGCATCCATACATCTCTGGAATGAAACAAATCACTTATTAATAAAGTCATCTGGAATGACAAAGAAAGCGTTCTTGCAGGACTCCCAGAGTTTATCAAGAGTCTTTGGATTCAGCTTACCAATAATACTTAATCTGCTAAATAATGTTCATGTCTGGTGAGTGGGCTGGCCAACCCTGGAGTGCCTTGACCTTCTTTGCTTTCAGGAACCTTGATGTGGAGGCTGAAGTATGAGAAGAAGAGCTATCCTGCATATATATGTGCAGCATAAATGTCTTGATACCTCAGGCTGTTGATGTTGCCATCATCTCTCGCACACCCCCATACTGAATGCAACTCCAAACCATGATTTTTTTCTTGACTGATTTCTGTGAGAATCGTGGATCCATGTGGGTTCCAATAGGTCTTCTGCAGTATTTGTGATGTTTGGGATGAAGTACAACAGATGACTCATCCGCTTCCACTTTTCCAAATGATTAACTAGAAGTTATTATTTGGTGCTCTTACAACTGGGATCAACAGACTTTTGTAACGTACTGTATATTTTTTTTCTTCATTTTTTGTTTAACAGAAATTTTTTTATTCAATACATTTATAAACATGATAGTTTTAATAACTCATTTCGAAGAACTGATTTCTTTTATCTTTGCCATGATGACAGTAACATAATATTTCACTAAATATTTCTAAAGATACTAGTATTCAGCTTAAAGTCACATTTAAAGGCTTAACCAGATTAATTAGGTTAAACAGGCAAGTAATTAGTTAAATCATTGTATAACAGGGGTTCGTTCTTTAGATAATAAAGAAAACAAATACAGCTTAAAAGGGCTAATAATTTTGACCTTAAAATTGTTTTTTTTTTTTTGTTTTTTGTTTTTTATTTAAAATCTGCTTTTATTTTAGCCGAAATAAAACAAAAGAAATAAATATTAAAAGAAATACTGTGAAAAATTACTGAATCTGTTAAACATCATTTGGGAAATATTTAAAAACAAACAAAAAAAGATTCATAAGAGGACTAATAACTGACTTTAACTGTAAATAAAAACTGGATTAAACATTTAGTAAATTCTGAGCTCTGTGAAGTTGGCAGTATGCTAGTATCCCATTCCGACAAGACAAAAACACAAAATGTACTTGATTATGACAAAAGCTGGCACACAATGAGATGAAGAGAGACAGGTCCTGGAACAGGTTATGTGAAGATTTAGGATATTTAAGATTTTGTTTTCATAACCGTAAGGAAGATAATATTATCCTTAAGTAAATATTTATAAAGAATCTAATCAACTTTAAAAGGTACATTACTGTCTAGTAGCTAACCTGATATGTTCATTTTTAATTTAAATGATAAAGCTATAATGATATACATTTCCTGATTATTAGTTCACGATATACTGCACAAATACATTTACAGAATGTTTTGTAGAAAACTTTACAATAGTTTGTTCATTGTCACTCAACTAACTTAAAAAGTTACTTTAATATTCAAACATCAAGTGCAACTTATTTGCCTTTATGATTCATCAGTCTAATTACTGAAAATAACTTTTATAAAGAAATATTATCTAACTGTCTTAATTTTCATATATAGAAAATCACGGGTGCACAAACTCAGTCCTAGAGTGCCGGTGTCCTGCAAAGTTAAGTTCCAATCCCAATTAGACACACCTGGGCTAGCTAATCAGGCTCTTTCCCAATTGCGTTCTCATGGATCGCAGTCTTGCCAGGTCACCTCGGAAGAATGAACTCGGGAGGGCGTGAGAACATGGAACGCATCCTTTGAGAAATGAGATGCTGCGTTCCTCCTGATGGTCACATGACCTTCACTCGGTTTTAATGGAAAATAATTAAATCATTACAGCATAAAAACCTTACAAATATACTTTGTACAATACAAATAAAGCTGATTTTTAATACAAATTTCAGCAAATAAACAACCTTAATGTGATTTTCATTTAAATATATACTTCTACTGTCTCATTTAGGGAAACTTCTAAGATAAATAACTTATATCTCTGAACTTTAATAATAAACAGGTATAAAATGCTGTGGTTCCTATCTCCTTTTTTTATTTTTATAATCAGCAGCAATGACTTCTGTGTGAGCTTTGCACTCAAGTCTGCATCAACACATCCTCAATATCAAGAACACATCTGGGAACTTTCACGCTTCCTCTGTTCTTGCAGTCTTGAGTTTTGGAACTGAACTTTGGCAGTTGATGATGATGTTCCATGAGAACACAAGGGCGCAAGATCACTGAAGAACACATACTAAGAAACAGCTTTCTAGAAACCAACCAGCCTCAACTAACCTGCAAGGATGAGCTAAAATCTGCAAGACACCGGCCCTCTTTAACAGAGTTTGGGCACCCCTGGTCTAAATATTAAGTTAATCTTGCTTTTTACTGATTTTATTAGTTGCTCTTTACTTATTAGCAGATTAAATTTTTATTTTATCTTATCAAATGCACTAATAATGTTCATGAAAAGAACATTTTTGTGAAGTGTGGAGAATCAAATAGCATTCATTATTTAATCTTGCGTAACAAAAACAGTTTGACAGTTAGCAAATCAAAACAACTTGCTAAACAGAAACTAGAAACCACAGTCAAAACGTTTTCTGTAGAAGTTTTGTTTTTTTTTCCATGAGAATTCTCCGCATTTTTTGAGGCCTTGAGACATAAGAGACGGAAGTTAAGAAAGAGCTACTATACTGGTACTTTGCAAAAATGACAAGAATTCACACCTCTAAAGTTTCTTCCTTATTAAGTTTCTCGGCTCACTGGAGCGTTCAGGTTTATGGCAGTTCTAAGAAACCAAATAACTTGATATTTTTCAGTTTTGCCCTCTTGAATTTGTAACTGTGCAGAGGAGATTGTGCGTGCAGCCAGATGGACACACAAAAATCAGGGATATATAAAAAAGAAAAACTACTGCCTGGACACAGAGATTCCTCTGTATGTGGAAATTCAAGACCTGCACTAGTGAGCACCACATACTGGTAAAAAATAATGAGTAGGAATGAATCACAATATTAGTCCAAACAGTGACTACAAGTTTTAATATTGATGATTTAATAGCTGTAGATTGCTCAAGCAAATTAGTTTGATGTTAGAAACAGAAACGCAGACCTGACAAATGAAAACACACACATGCATTAACAAAAGCTTTGTTGATCTTTCCGAACATTTAAAAAGATACTCCACCAAAAATTGTAACAACCTTATTAGTCATTCTTCTCATGCTAACTCATTAGAATAATTAGCCCTCCTTAATTATGAGCTACCTGTTTAATTTTTATCCCAATTTCTCTTTTTTCAACACATTTCTAAATCTGAGTTTTAATAAACTAATTTCTAATTTTTATCTTATATAAAACAAATAAAATATTAATTGTTAAATTAAGTAAAATTTTTGTGTTAACTATTCCTGTTATCTGTTCCTATTCCTGTATTAAATAGGGAATGAGATAGAGATAGAGTCCATTTATCTCAAGTGCATTTACCCTTAACAACTGATGCATTAAATACAACACAAAAACGTTTGAAGGTAAGCTATATGTTAAAAGTTGATGAATCATTGAATTCAGTAATAAAATAGTAGGTTTGTTAGAGGAAATCCAAACATTTAAATTTTTTAAAACTAAAATACATATGCTGTACATCATGCTTGACTCCTGTTCCTTCCAATAGTTTTGACAGTGAATTGACATACAAAAACCGACCACACCAGAATATTTGCCCATATGGAGAATTATAAGAGAAAACTTATTTAAATACAAATCTTAGGCCCAATTTACACTGCCACTGTGACCCAATCCCGATTGTTTGCTCATATGTGAGACAAATCGAATCTGTCCTATGACCGTGTAAACACGAGAAAAAAAAAGAAAAAAAAAAATGCATGCATTGGATAAACAGAGATCGGTTTCAGGCCTCCTTCATATGTGGACATACTGTAAATCAGATATGTGACAATGAGACTATCATGTAAATAAGCAGATCGGATTTATTAAGGCATTCATTTTTGTATGTCATCTTTTTTCGTACTCCACGGTTTAATGATATAGAAGGAGGAGCGTGTGTGTGCTCATCCTAAAACGTCAGAGCCAATGTTCCTCATTAAAGCCCGCCACAATTTGCTCCCACCAGATCCGAGATCTCTCTTGTACCCACAAATTCCTCTATATGGTGGAGGACACCATATATAAACCATAGGTGCAAGCTGCGATGACAACCCTTTCCCTCATCCTCCACCTCAAAATCATTTTAAAGTTGGGCGAACTTCGCATATTCCACAGAGCTAAAAGCAGGACAATCTCTTCTATTATGGCTAGTG